TGGAAAAAGTCTGGTTACAAAGCCAGCTTTGCTAGCACCAGCAAGCCCCCGGGCTTCCTTTGAAGCCGGCGAAGCAAGAGTTGTAACACAGGGGCATATCTCCAAGCAGGCGCGAGACCTTTGATTTTGATGACGACTGTGACAGCCTGACTTGGGAAGAAAACGAAGACACTTTGCTCCTGTGGGAGGACTTCACCAACTGCAACCCCACCGTCGAACTCCAAGGAGAGGTGAGTCGCGCAGCGGCTCCCTCGCCGCCCAGCAGGGACGGCGGTCTGCGGCCCGCGTATGGCTCTACTGAGCCAAGCTGCCTTTGGGGGGTCCTCTCGCTGGTGCCTTTTGCTCGGGTTCTGGTGGGGGTGGCACGAGCCCACTTTTCGTTGGAGAACTGCTGTTAGCCAGGTCAAACGTTTAAATATTAATCTCATTCTGCCAGCAGACACGGTGATGGTTTAATTTTAAGTCTGGCTCCTTAACTGATGGTTGGCTCCAGTCAGAGCCAAGCCAAGGTCGCAGTGGCTCAGGCCACACAGCTGCCCTCGAGAACACTTTGGGCTTAGCTCAGCATTTTGAGAGGCCGGCCAAGGTAGGGTCCCGTTCGTTGGACCTGAACATAGCAGCGATGTTGCGAGAGAGGCGGATGGCAGGCGTGGGGCCTGCTCCACCTCAGAGGGGCTGGCGGTTCCCTCCCGAAAGGGACACGTGCAGGCCTGGACCCCGAGGAAGCACCTGAGGAGCCGGTGGATGAAGCCTGCAGAGAGGCGCCTCTCATGCGTGGGCTGCTTGGGGCCCGGCGGGCGGCCTGGCTCGCTTGCCTCTCCCTAAGGCTGCGTCTGGGTTTCTCTTTCAGCAAGAGGAGAACCTGGGCAACTTGATCCACGAAACAGAGTCTTTCTTCAAAACCAGAGACAAAGAATATCAGGAAACGATAGGACAGATTGAGGTAAAAAAAAAAAAAACCCACGAAGCAAGTTCCTGTCTTCCGAAGCGCTGACCTTTGCCCGCAGCCCGAGTCGCGCCGGGCTTGCTCAGGCACGAGAACCGCTTGGCCAAGGCTCGGGCCGGGCCCTTAAGAAGGGCGGGCTCCTGGTTAACGGCCCGTCCTTCTGCCTTTCCCCAGCTGGAACTGGCCACAGCCAAGAGCGACATGAACCGCCACCTCCACGAGTACATGGAGATGTGTAGCATGAAGCGGGGCCTGGATGTGCAGATGGAGACCTGCCGGCGACTGATCAAGGGCTCTGCTGAAAGGTCGGGCGGGAGGAGGGTTGCGCTGCCCTGCTTTGCCCAGAGCCCCCCAGCGGGCGTGGGAGGGCGGCAGGGGGAGGTTGGTCCCGCGCTTGCGGCTCAGTTCCTTCCGTAAGCCGAGGCGCAGGTGGCAAGGGCCCAAGCCCGACCCCTTCTCTCCTCCCTCCTGCAGGAATTCCCCGTCTCCCAGCTCCCTCGCCAGCAGCGACTCAGGGAACACGGATGAGATTCAGGATGACTTTGACAGAGAAGCAGACGTTGAGCCGATGGTCAGCTGATGAACGCCGGAGTGTCGGGGCCAAGGGGGTGGGGGGAGAACAGAAAATTAAACCTGGACAAAAGTTGAAAACGGGCAGCATGAGGGATCCAGGACTCCAGCGTCCTCGGCCGGCGTTCCCAGAGGCTCGGTCTCCCGCGCCTCCCGCGTCATCTCAGGATTGGTGCTGTAAACTTTTGTACTGTTCCGTCAACGACAAATGTGACAAACCGAAAAACTGCATTCTACCCGTGCCTTTGCCCAGGCTGAGCCCTCCGAGCTCCCCCGGCCCGCCCACCTGCTTCTGATGGAAGGCAAGCTCGCAGGGGCGGGCGCCTCTGCCGCGAGGGGGGGACCGAAGAG